AACTTGGGCTACTTAGCTATGAGACGGGACATAGCAAGCTACGAGCAAATAAAATAACCCCCAACGAGCCCGAGTTGCAAGATATCTATGTGTGTTCCTTACGCCCATGCTTATGAGAAATATTTGAATTGTACCGCCTAAAGATATTATTGCTCTGTTAAGTACTCGTTCTTGTCACTCGCTGCGTCGCATATTCGAATGAAAGAAGAGAAGGAGCAGATAGAAACTAGTAATAAATGAACTTCTATTGAATTTGGTTGATGCGTTTCTACTGGGACCTTAGTTGCTGGCCTGAAACAGGCATTTTCGCAGTTTGCCATTTTGGAGCAGACAGTGTGGATCTCAAAGACTATAAGAAATAGAGCTCTATGATTTGGTATGGAGACTCCTACAACCCCACGCAGTTCAATTTTGAACTCGTTCTTTCTTGTTTTTTATTATAATGATATTTTTTTTAGCCTCTTGTAAATGTTACTCTAATTTTTTTAGAGGAGCCGCTGGGGCTCCACACAGGCAAGGGTCCTACAAGAGGACCTCTCCCTTCCTATCTACTGATGTGCCCAAGAGTGTTCTATCCTTCCTGCGGCGGCTCGCTCCAGATTTACGGATGAAAGCTACGAGTCTGTGTGGAGCGATCTCCGCGAGGTCTGTTAGGTCCGTGAGTATTGCTGCGCCCAAGAATTTGAGTCGGCTGCACCCAAGCGCAGGGCAATGTACCGACATAAATTGCAAAAAAATTCTCTCACCAATGTATTGGGGATTTTTATACGCTTGCAGAGAGTATTATAATTTTGGTCAAAAGTGTGCAACGCAGTGAAGAAGACATTTCCGACCCTATAAAGTATATATATTCTTGATCAGGATCACATCCTGAATTGATATAAGCATGTCCGTCTGTCTGTCCGTCTGTCTTTCCGTCTGTCTGTCCGTCTGTCTGTCCGTCTGTCTGTCCGTCTGTCTGTTTCTACGCAAACTAGTCTCAGTTAGAGTTTAGATAGTTGTCGTTAGTTTTTTTAGATAGAAATTTAGATAGAAGATCAGTTTTAGATTTAGATCAGTTTAGATAGAAATCTTAAACTTCGTAAAAATATTACTTTTGGTCAGATAATCCGACCTACCAAATTTCATAAGGATCGGCCGACTATATCCTATAGCTTCCATATTACTGAACGATCGGAAATGGTTTTTGGTAGAAATACCAACTTTGGTATTTTTGCAGATAGAAGTTTGGGACTTTTTTTTAGATTTTGTATTATAATAAATTGGGTTATATGTATTATCATATTCTCATAAGGATCGGCCAACTATATCCGATGTTTGCATTATATATATCCGGTTTTAGCTGCAAGGGTATATCAACTTCGGTTTCCCCGAAGTTAGCTTTCCTTTATTGTTTGAATTCGTATGTGAGTTTTCTCTGCCGTATGCAGAGCTTGGGCAACCCTGCTTAAAAGGTTAGTTAATGTGTGGGTGGAAGAGATGAGTACCATCATCAGTACTATACGTTCATGAGTACGTATCGTTCATCGCTGAACTTCTCCATATGTACCTTTACAAAGCCTAGCATGTGTAATGCGCTTGTTGTAATTTAAAAAAAAAAAAAATATAAAAAACAAAATGCCTAAAAGTAAACCCCATTTAGTTAAGCTTGGAATAGAAAAAAATAGCAAAACATAAAGCTTGGTTAAGCTTAAAGTTCCTTATCTATTAATAATCAATTATCTATCTAGAATTTATCATTTATGGTAAGTTTCGGTCTAAGCGTAGTATAAGCAGCGGCCAAGTTCTTTTTCTCTTGTGGCTGCTAAGATAAGCGCATCGCTCGCGGTTAAACTCAAAGTATATATTTAACCCCCGGAAAATAGAAATAAGACTCGTGGTGGGAAGTTTCCAATAAGTTTCCAATATTTCCACATAAGTTTCCAAATCTTAAACGCCGAAGGAAGTGATCAGCGCTCAGTGCATTAAAAGTGAATTACCTTTTTTTTGTGGTGCCAATTCAAGGTCGAATATGCACCCAGTAAAAACCAAATTTTTATTGTTCTTACATTGGGAATAAGTTCATAAGTCCCCAACTAGCCAGTTTTACCTCTAAGAAGGGCTCGCAGCGCCACACCGCGGGATCAGATGGATTAATTTAAATTGGTGTGAGAAATGAAATTTTCTTGTAAGGTGCATGTGCCAATAATTTTCCATCATTAACTAAAACCCGCCAATGGCCAGCATATGTACCCCAATTATTTTCCTCATCCAATGACGTCACTCATCGCCCCAAGACAGTTATGCTCCAATGTTGGTTTCTGGAATTATTAATTTTATTTAGTTTTTTCATTTTGGTAGTAATTATTTTTTTTTTGAGCTTCGAGTTTAATAATGTAAGGAAATAACGTTTCCAGTTCCCTTAATTTTATATTTCTTAGTTAATTAGTTAAATACTAAAAATGAATGGTTCGGAAATATTAATCAGTTTGGTGAATATATACATACATATACATACATACATATATATTTATGTATATACATACATAAATACGCAAAAATAACCTTTAAACCCCAAAAATAATAGATTCATCGCTCAACCCGACAAAAGATCTTTTGGACGTGGAAAATAAACTCGATGTAATTGAAAACAAAAAAAACACATTATTCCAAATTAAAATTTTTTTTTTGTAGTTATGCCGATTTTTCTCATTTTGCCTAACGGTGAAATAGAACCATGCGGTTTGCAATTAAAATACCGAACAATGGTACACTGAAAAAAATTATGGCGCGTGAATGCTAACGTTGTTGATTTTATATATATTTTCTTTTTTGAATATATTCCCCAATATTAATTTACGGGTTTCCGCAATAACATGAGGAAAGAAAAATGAATTTATTTTTGATCATAAATTAATTAATTAATATTTAATAAAAATTATTGGAATCTTGGAATATTATTTCTATATTATATTTTTGGCTGAGTTCCACAATTAAAAAAATTGCTAATGTTAATTAAAATATCTTACTATCAAATGTGAATTGAAAATAAATAAGTTACTTAAAGACATTTCAAGAAATAAATTTAGGAAATAATATTAGAGAATACATGCTAGGGAAGACCAGATTCTCTTAATAAACATTGTTCTTAATAGCCATATATATTATTATTTCATTATTATTAATTCAACTTATTATTCCTTATGCCGACTAATAGAGATACAAATTCTAAGATAATTTTTTTTCGATTATAACCTATCTACTAAATACATTTAATTTTATACTTACTTTTAATTTCCCCTTCTTTTTGCCTTATGCAACCTTATAAATATAAATAAATTTTATAACGTTTAAAAATGAATTGCTAAATCTATTATCAGTGGGAGTCATACAGGATGAAGATGGCAGGTGAAATTAGATAGCCGATTTCTTTGGCATCACCAATAATTATTTCGCGGAACTGGTGATCATGGAAGGGTGGGCAAAAGCTGTGGCAAAACATCAGCCCAGCTTTACGTCATCTGCTGCAACTCCACCAGCGCAGTGACAACGGCCTTAATTACATTGAATGTCGAAAGCAATGCAAGAATCCTTTTTGTTCCACTTCCCGCTATTTCCTTCAATACGTATTAACCCCCCGCACGCGAATTTCTTTTAAGGGGACCCCCCCCATTCTCGATTTTAAATTTTGACGATTTTCAATGGGCTGGCAAATGAACATAAATTATTTTTTAGGGTTGTAACTGTGCTTACATATATTAAGACACAAAAAGGAAGAAAATCATTTCACAGAATTTTTTTTTGTTTTGTTTTTGTTGTTGTTTTTTGTGATCAAAGAAAAGCCCTTCTTTTCGGCGGCGCATGTGATTTCCGCTTACTGGAACATCTGAATCCAAAAATTCCAACGGGATTAGAAAAAGTACATGTTTGGCTCTCGTATGAACTAGGATTATTAACTTCGCTCAAAAATTAACAAAATGGCGGACATTTGAAATTTTTTTTTTTAAATTTCCATTTTTTTCAGCCACAAATCGAGTTGAAAAGTAAAGAAGATCTTCACCGATTTGATTTATCCTAGTTCATACGAGAGCTATATATGTATAGAATAACGTGTTTAAATTTGGACCGATTGGATTAATAGTTTTTGAGTAACCTCATGCGCCAGTCGTAAAAACACTGTTTCGAGAAAAACGCGTTTAAAGTTTTGAGACGGCTCTCGCCGTCGCCTGAGGCTTCCACCATAAATCGGCTATATCTTCAAGAGTTTTTGAAATTTTTCTTTGAAATTTCTCAGGGAACATTCTTGAATAGTTACAAGTTCGAATTAAATTTAAAAAAAAAATCGATTTTTTAAAACCGAGAATGGGGGGGGTCCCCTTAAATAATCGATTGATAACTGCGAGCGAGTAGCACAAGGACCCTAGAGATCCACTCACATCTACCGACAAAAAAGCCGGAACCAGCGCGTGCAACTTCCTTGCAGCTACACTACCATCTGCCCGCTTACATGGTTACATGTTACACATGGTAACGGGAAATTTTTATTTTATTTCAAATAACATGACGAAAGAGAAAACCTTATTTTTTATGGTTAGACTATTCCAATAGAGCAGCCGGTGTACATATGTAAAACCAGAGTAGACAACACGCATGTAAGTAGACAGAATATTGGGCGCATTAAAGGAAACCTCTTACTACCATTGTTTCTCTAATGCAGAATATGGCCCTTATTGATGATTCATCAATCGTAAATTTCTGCAAAAATGTTTTAAAAATTATAATAATGAAGTGCAAGTCTTATTTTCAAAATTTTTTTTTTCCTTTTTGACATTTTAACATCATCAAAAAAAAAATTCTTGTATTTTTTGAACGAAAACAAATATTGTAGTCAAAGCAAATATGTATGTGTAAAACTGGGTCTAAAAGGTAAACCAGACAAACCACCTTTTGATGAAATTTTTTTTCATGCTCTTCGTAGACAGCATTGAGCCACAAACCGGATGAGCTTGTGGTTGTTGCATCGAAATCAGTTACGTTGCTTTCGTTTGAACGGATGGTTGTGTTTGTCCACTAAAGTTGTAAGCCAACATAAAGAAGTATTGGGTTAATGTTGTTTTTTCCTGAGTTTTCCAAAATATGTATGTAAATAGCCCTAACGCAAACAGAAAATACTGAGCAATTCACTAATACTGAAAAATGAGAAAGTAGAAAGACTTAATCCAGATCTAAGTGTGAATTTTCATTATTTTATTTAAAGGAAATAAATATGCTACAACCTCGCAAAATACGAAGAGCCGGATTGAATAAGTTACATAATAAAACACACTGCAGACTTCATCTAATGGATTGGAAAATTGTCTGCCATAAAAAATGGCTTATTTTAATAATCGCAATAATGTCTATGGAATCTAGTGATGCTTCTCCGGAGTTGGGTAATAATTTTTAATGTCATCGTATTTATGTTTATATATAATAAAATATATACATGTATATGTATATTTTTTTTATAATTAAATGGTTAATTTTTTGTAAGTTTTAAGAACACGGAACATTTAAATATTAAAATAAGTGAACAAAAATATTTATTATTCGCATATTTTCGTATTATATTTATACTTTTGGCATATTAAAATGTTTCGTAAAATATGTAAAATTTTTAAATAAACATAATACCAAAGCGGATAGACTGGTACGCGTATTTGGCTTGTTAAATAACCCAGCCAGTTAAACCTGTTGTACTTGTTGGGATCTATTATATTTGTTTGACCTATAGATATTTTATAGCTCTAAACTGTTTTTATACCCTTGCAGAGGGTATTATAATTTTGTCCAAAAGTGTGCAACGTAGTGAAGGAGACATCTCCGACCCTATAAAGTATATATATTCTTGATCAGGATCACCTCCTGAGTTGATATGAGCATGTCCGTCTGTCCGTCTGTCCGTCTGTCTGTTTCTACGCAAACTAGTCTCTCAGTTTTAAAGCTATCGTCTTGAAACTTTGCACACACCCTTCTTTCCTTTGCACGCAGTATATAAGTCGGAACGGCCGGGATCGGCCGACTATATCCTATAGCTGCCATATAACTGATTGATCGGAAATGGTATAACTTTGGTGTTTTTAGAGTTAGAGAGTTCAAATTTGACATAAGAGCTATTCTTGGTAAAACATTACGACATGCAAAATTTCATAAGGATCGGCCAATTATATCCTATATCTGCCATATAAATGAACGATCGGAAATGACCCAACTTTCGTGTTTTTGAAGATAGAAAGCAGGAACTTGGTACAGATTATATTTTTGGTCAGTTAATCCGACCTACCAAAATTTATAACGATCGGCTGACTATATCCTATAGCTGCCAGATAACTGAACGATCGGAAATGGATTTTGGTAGAAATACAAACTTTGGTATTTGTGAAGATAAAAGCTTGGGATTTTTTTTTAGATTTTATATTATAATAAATTGGGTTATATTATCATATTCTCATTAGGATCGGCCAACTATATCCGATGTTTTCGAAATATATCCGGTTTTAACTGCAAGGGTATATCAACTTCGGCTCCGCCCGAAGTAAGCTTTCCTTTCTTGTTCGAATATAAAACCAATGTTTTTTTTTTCTGTCCCATGATCTTTTATATAAGACAAATGAAAACTAATTTTTAAGTTTTTCCAGACAAATTATTTTAAGCCCTTGCAGAGGCTATTATAATTTTAATTTTCTCAAAAGTTTGCAACTCCGTGAAGGAGACATCTCCCAATAAGACCCAATAAGGTATGTATATATATTCATGATCAGAATCACCTCCTGAGTTGATATGAGCATGTCCGTCTGTATATCCGGTATATCGCAAGAATCGGGCCGATCATTATGAGAATATATAAATGAAACCAATTTATTACAATACAAAATCTAAAAAAAGTCCCAAACTTCTATTTTCAAAAATACGAAAGTTGATATTTCTACCAAATACCATTTCCGATCGTTCAGTTATATGGCAGCTATAGGATATAGTCGGCCGATCCTAATGAAATTTGGTAGGTCGAATCAACTGACCAAAAATATAATCTGTACCAAGTTCCAGCTTTCTATCTTCAAAGACACGAAGGTTGGGTCATTTCCGATCGTTCAGTTATATGGCAGCTATAAGATATAGTCGGCCGATCCTTACGAAATTTAGCATGTCGTATTATTTTGCCAAAAAAAAAGCTCCTACCTAAAACCTAAAAACCTAAAATTTGAACTCTCTAACTTTAAAAACACCAAACTTATACCATTTCCGATCAATCAGTTATATGGCAGCTATAGGATATAGTCGACCGATCCGGGCCGTTCCGACTTATATACTGCGTGCAAAGGAAAGAAGGGTGTGTGCAAAGTTTCAAGCTTTAAACCAGTGGTGCTCATCCCATTGCTCTCGCTGCTCATTTTTTTTTGCAAATGCTCATGCCTACCGAGTTGTGTGAGTCTGCTCACGCCATAAGATTCGTTGCTCACGCCATAAGCATCGTTGTTCCCATCATAAGCAAAGGGCAATTACAATAACAATTTTTCGTGTTTTCCCTATTATCCTCAATCGTACTAATCCGAATGAATTTTGTTGTTGGAGTGCCGAAAACTTTTCACTGCAAGAAATTCATTCTTGTTTTTGTTTCTGCCAAAATGGTCGACCTGTAGCGATGAATTTGTTCTTCGCAGAACATTTTTTTTAAACTAAGAAGCTCTGCATATTTGTCATAGTATAATAATAAGCTGTTTTAAAATATGTAGGGCCATTTTTTAATTGCGGTAATAATCTTTATTATATGGATATTTTTAAACCCCTTGTGAATGTTACTATAATTTTATTTTTCAGTGCAGCCACATGGATGGGAAAAAAATTGTCGCACCAATGTTTTGGTGATTTTTTGCTTTGGTATGGGAGTTTGCTCTTTCGTATGCAGAGCTTGGGCACCACTGCCTTAAACGATATTCAAGCTTTACGATAGCTTTAAAACTGAGAGACTAGTTTGCGTAGAAACAGACAGACGGACAGACAGACGGACAGACAGACGGACAGACGGACATGCTCATATCAACTCAGGAGGTGATCCTGATCAAGAATATATATACTTATAGGGTCTGAGATGTCTCCTTCACTGCGTTGCACACTATTGGACAAAATTATAATACCCTATGCAAGGGTATAAAAATAAAAATGTTGGTATTTATGGCTCGTAACATTTATATTCCGATCGTAACACCGGAGTTATAGCATTTCCGATCAATCAGTTATATGGCAGGTATAGGATATAGCCGGCCGATCCCGGCCGTTCCGACTTATATACTGCGTGCAAAGGAAAGAAGGGTGTGTGCAAAGTTTCAAGACAATAGCTTTAAAACTGAGCGACTAGTTTAGAAACAGACAGATGGACAGAAGGACATGCTTATATCAACTCAGGAGGTGATCCTGATCAAGAATACATATACTTTATAGGGTCGAATATGTCCCCTTCACTGCGTTGCAAACTTTTGACCAAAATTATAATACCCTCTGCAATAGGGCTGGTCATTAAAAATGTTGTTTCGACTTTGAAACGCTAATAGGGCTTAAAAGCTGTGTACACATGTCCAGAATACGTGTGCAAAATCCGATTGCTGTGCGACGATGTCTGCCATCTGCGCATTGACGACAAAAATAAAAACATGTTGGTATATTTACGAAAAATTTTAAATTCTAGCAATTTTTTCTCTACTTACATATTTCCAAGATTTACTAGTCAAAAGCGGTATTCCCAGACACTAAAATTCGTATGAATTGTTGTCGAACCTATACCTATTCTAGAGAACTCTGTCAAAAAGTCAGAAAAAGTAATCGAATCGGACCGTTTTTCCACGAAATCCGCTGTTTCCTCACTTCACCTTGTTGAAAGTTAATGTCGAAAGATTGCGTGTTCTTTAAATTTATTTATCAAAAATTATAAATTGAAATTTGCATATCTTCGCCACCTTAGATTTACTTGTGTGAATCGTTAGGGCCCAATACTAACTTCTGCGTGTCAACGTAAAAAAGTGTGTATGTAGACCTGTTGTTCTACAGTTTTTTAGTTTCTGTATCTCAAATAGTTCACAAGTGAATCGTAGTAAAGCTGTTTATCTGCATTTATCCACATCGACATGAGTGTATTTCGAAGAAATCTTACATTGAACATTTTAGGGCATCCTACAGATTTCGATGGGCGCATGCTGCCAACTCGAGAGGATACTTTAAAGTATTACCAAAGATTATAAAGTACATAGATGGGACATCTCATACAAAGAAAAATTTTCTATGGCGGGTTCCAGCAGTGGAACCCGCTGGAACGAGCGGGTTCCATTGCTCGACAAGTTAAGTTTGAGAAATTTTTCGAGAGACAACGAATGAGGAATAGTCGAGTGGTAGGGTGCTTGGCTGGTGTGCAAAGTAAAATGAGTTCAAACCAGGCTCGGGACATCCATTTTTTTTTAAATTTTAAATCTATTTATATTATATTTTTATTCTTTTAATGTTTTTTTCTTAATTTATAATCCTCTAAAAAAAATACAAAATTGTAAAATCACCTTAACATTGTCTCAGTTCGTAGTGGAACCCGCTGTAAAAATGTCTATAAGTGCGGGTTCTACGGCATTTTGGTAGGCCGCGTCATGGAACCCGCTCTCAAATGTTTTCATTTTTTCCGTCGTGGAACCCGCTGTAATAATGGAAACATTTGAGAGCGGGTTCCACGACAAACGGCTGGCAGATGAGATAGGGAGAGAGAGAATTCTATTTTTAGATCGTAACATCTTTGGAATGATGAAAGTTTGAAACGTTGTAATCGAACCAATGTAAGAGTAAAGAGATTAGAAATATCTTTTACTATCCTTACTCGTCAACTCTGTTTTTGGTATAGATTCTAGCGCTTCCTTTAACACCAATTTTAAGTATCATAAAATCAACTTCGAGGGTAGCCTAGATGGATAGTGCGTGGTCCTTATTCATGGGGTCCTGGGTTCGACTTCATTAGCGGGCGGTTGTTAATCGATTTTGATAAAGTTTTAGTTTTATGATTCTTTTTATATTAACTTTTATTTTTTTTATTATTTTTTTTTTTAAATTGCATTTTATTACAATTGTTGTAAAAATAAGTGACGGACGTGTCGGATGACAAAATACCGGAAGGACTCCCTTGAAATTTTATTAGCATTTTATTAGAGGGACATAATGAAGAATTAAACAATTTTACAATTGTAAAATTAAAGAAAACAAGAAAGGAAAGCTAACTTCGGGCGGAGCCGAAGTTGATATACCCTTGCAGTTAAAACCGGATATATATCGCAAACATCGGATTTAGTTGGCCGATCCTTATGATTACATTATAATAAAACCAATTAATTAAATTACAAAATCTAAAAAAAAGTCCCAAGCTTCT